TAAGACCAGAACTAGCCTGTGGTCTGAGGATGATTTCCAAGGCCCGTGGTGACTCAGAACTGGCAGGAAGTTTGGCGCTAGGGGAAGCTCAGAGCTGGCCCTCTCACCCATCACATGCCCTTCACAGTGCCAGCCCCAGCTCTGCCGGCCACAGGTCTGAGTGAACAGGGCAGAGCATCCACCTCTCGGTACAGGAAAAGTGGACAAGGGAATATCTACTCAGGGCTGCCTGACTGTAGGCTATGGGGAAGAAAGATGACGTGCTGTTTAAAGTATGTTTGGAAATGTGCCTGGGGCATGGTGAGTCCTGAACACTGGAGTTCTGATTTCCCAGAAGTCTCACAGTGAGAGGAAATCCAACGTCACCCAAGTGTCAGCATTGATACCACACTGAGGGAATTTAGGAACAGGAAAGACATCTTTTGTTCGATGCAGAGCATCGTCAACTGAAACTGGCCATCATGGGCATCTGAATTTGTTTTCAGCAGGGAGGGAGCTGTTAGCCAACTCTCCAGGTGTGACAGACACACCCAATGGGCCCAATGTGTAAGGACAATAAAGCAGGTGCTTTCTTAGAGCTGGAGCCCTGAGGGGATGTCTTTCCCACCACTGGTTCCTCCACTGACTGAAGTCTTCAGAGAACAAATCCAGAATGGACCTTCCCCAGGGCCAGCACAGAGTGAGGTCACAGGCTGGTGTGAAAGACCTTAGAACCAGCCACACAAGGCACATGGGCCACAATGTTCACCACTAGTAAGGACGAATGTGGTTCCTCTGCTCCCTCCAAGGCTCTGCCTCCAAAGCTGCCCTCGCCACATTTTAGGGCTCAGAGCTGATGGTATTAAACCTGCCAGCCGTGGACATGGAGGGTCTCACTTTGGGCTCTTCCTGATTGCTCAGTTCTCCTTTCTCCTGACTGCCTTCAATTCTATCACTGTATCCTCAATACACTGGGGTGCCAAGAGACTGACGACAGCCTTGAAGCCCTCTTTTCTCAGGTGTGTGCCTTTGCTGTAGTCTGGGGAAGCGTCCCTCAGAGGCCGTATTAAAGTCTCGGTCCCTGCATGAGGTGCTGTTGGGAGCCGGTGGAGCCTTTAGACGTGGGACCAAGTGCTGCTTTTGGCTTGGCCACTCAAAGGCATCCTCCTTTCCTCCATTTCTTTTGGCTGGTCATGGCTCTTATCTTCTATCCCGTGGACCACCAGCATTGATCCTTCATATTCCAAATCTTGATCAGTGCACGTCTGCACGTCTACCTGCTACAGCCCATGTCTCTATTGACTAAAGGAGTTCTTTAGTTTAACCTCCTCTTCTCCTTCCTTTGTAACTTAGGGATAACAGAAGGCCTTTTCAATCTCTCCCACTTCATACTCTAATATGAAAAATTCCATGCAGTAAACTGTTGTTGTTTTTTTTTGTTTTGTTTTGTTTTTTTGCTCTTTTGGGAGGCCGGCCACCCAACTCCCAAATAAATCACACACGGAGGCTTATTCTTATTTATAAATGCCTGGCTTTAGCTTGGCTTGTTTCTTGCCAGCTTTCCTTAACTTTAAACTAACCTGGTTTACCTTCTGCCTCTGGGCTTCTCCCGTTCTCTTACTTCTGTATATCTTATTCTTACTCTGTGGTTTGCAGTGTAGCTGGGTAGTTGGCCCCTGGAGTCCTCCTCCTTCTCTGGCTGCTGTTTCCCTGCCCAGATTTCTCCTATTTATCCTCTCTGCCTCCCAGCCCTGCCTATTTCTCTCTCCTGCCTCACTGTTGGCTGTTCACTTCTTTATCAGATCATGTGTTTTAGACAGGCACAGTAACACAGCTTCACAGAGTTGAACAAATGCAGCATAAAATAAGCAACACATCTTAAGACAATATCCTACAACAGTAAACTCCTTCAATTCCCCAGCAGATATCAACTATTTTTCGCCTCTCTGCCTTGAGAAGACATTGTAAAGGAGGACACATAGGTGTCCTAGGTGATCCCCTAGGTGATCAGGCTATTGAAATAATGGACCCCAAACTACTGGAATTTCCCCGGAATCTCATGCTGAAAAGGAAGAAGGATGGAGCCTGGTGCCAGCTGGAGGAGCTTGTCTCCATGAAGAGACTCCATATGGCTCTCACCTGTCGAAGCACGTTTCAGGGGAGGCTGGAGCCATGACAACGGCAGCCAGTGATGAGGAGGACCACACACCTTCCCAACTGCTTAGTGCTGTAACTTTCACCCTCCCTCTAAACCTGAATCTCATGTCGGGACCCTGGAAATGAACTTGAGGGGCAGGGTCACTGGACCTCTTCCCAATGTTCCCATATTGATCTTTAATTGGCCAGGTGAGGACAGGTGACTGAGCCTGGCTTGTTAGGCACAGCCAGAACCTAGGTTACAATCCTGACAACTTTGGTAACATAACTTCTTTTCAAAGAGTTCATTTTGAAATGACGGACATGAACAGCAAATATGGTAAAATATCAGTTGGAAAGTATGCATGTTCCTAATTCTAGCCTTCCCACTTCTCCGCATACTTGAAATTAAAGCAATATTTGCAAGCAGGCTAAAATTTTTATTTATTTATCTATCTATCTACCTATCTATCTATCTGTTTATTTATTTATTACTTAGGGGTTTTGTTTGTTTGTTTGTTTTTGAGATAGGAATCTGCCATGTAGCCTAGGCTGGCTTTAGAATTCACTATGGAGCCCAGGTTAGCCTTGAACTCTTGATCCTCCTGCTTCTGCCTCCCTAGTGGTGGGATTACAGGCCGATGCCACCATGCCCATCTTAAGATCACTTTAGGAACCAACTCTTTTTGAAACTAAAGTGTTGTGGAAATGAGACCTCCAAAAGAAGGCTTCTGAAGCATTTTCTCTCTGACCTTCTCCTGCCCGTCTATCTCCTAACCCTCATTCTTTCCCAGAGGCAAACTATAGAAACTAAAACTCCCCAGTCTCAAGATGGGCCATAGAAATGAGAACTGCTGCTCCAAAAAGCCAGCCATAAAACCTGAGAGTATTGCCTTGACCTCCTCCCACTTTTCTATGTGAGAGCTTACCAGAATGAAGTTGTCTGCCCTACCTTGTGTGTCCTAGAAAGCTTTGGGCCCCATTCCCAGAAGGAAGGAGGGCAGCACAGGCCAGCCTAGGAGAGCCTGCAAAGGCCTTACTGTCCCCTCCCCAAATCTACCCCCAAGTCTAGCCCCCCCCAAGTCTAGCCCCCTCCCAAGTCTAGCCCCCCCCCAAGTCTAGCCACCCCCCAAGTCCAGCAGTGGCTGGCGGCCCTTCAGTGCAGCCATGTTTTTACCCAAATGCGCAGGCCCAGTGGAAACGGAGCACGGAAGCAGACAGCTCAGCCTAGCTGCATCTTTGGCTCCAGTAAGGAGAATCTGTTTTGCTTTTCTACACCCTTCGTCATAAAGGTGTGGATCTAAATGATAGCAGGAGATAGATGAAACCTTTCCTGCCCCCACATCTGCCACCACTGCTCTTGATCTGTCCCTCACAGACCTGCAGACTAATGCCTCCCATCGCCACGCTCACTCGGCTTACAGCTTTGTTTGAAAATGAAATGACTCGGTCATCCTTCCAAGAGCACTTTATACTTTGCTCTCGGGGTTGGCTAACCATCACTAGGCTGTTCATTTTTATTTCTCTAAGTGGGATCATATTCCACTTCAAAAACTTAAGCAAATAAAGAAATGTAACTCCCAACAGTTACATGTAATCCCTAGGATCAGCCATCAGAGATTTCCCTATGGGAAAATTTGAGGTGATAAGAAACAAAGGTTGAGAGAAATAATCTGGTGTGGATCCTTTCAGAACTTCCAAGTGCCAGTGGGTTTTTGTTATTATGAAAGGACAAGAATTTAGTCCTTTTCATATATTTCCACTATATTTATATAAAAATTAAGAAAAGTATATTTATCATCATAATCTAATAGTTAATGATCTTGGGTGCATAAGCAAGAGAAGTGAAAATATGTGGCCTGGAGAAAAGCTTGCTCATGACTCTTCTTATTAGCATTGCTCTCCATAGCCCAAAAAGGAAACATTGCCAATGTCCATCATTTTCAAATGGACAGACAATATGTGGGATATCTATACAATACAATAGAATTCCTCAGCAAAAGGAATAGGATGATAATGTAATGCAACATAAATGACTTGAAAATCCTCGAAGATAGAGTCAAACGCAAAAGTTCACACATGGTCCTGTTTATATGTAATGTCTAGAATAGCCCAAGCCCAGAAAATAAAAGTTGATTAGTGTTTGTTTGCCTTGGGCTGGGAGCAGAGGGGTCAGGGACGGCGATTGCTCATGGGCACAGGCTTCCTTTGAGAATGATGCAAAAGTTCTACAAGTGGATGGAGATAATTGCCTAACTTTGTAAACATAATAAAAACACTGAACTGTGCAATGTAAGTGGGTGACTGCTAAGACACGTGAATTATATCTCAATTCATTTTATATTCCATGAAAAACAACTTCCTACTTGATCCCATTTTTAAGAGCAGTCAAGGGATGAAGGTAGGGGAGATGAGGGGGTGGGGGAGAAGCATTCTGGGTATAATTAAACCATCTCCCTCAAGTCTCTGGCCAGACTCTACAGGGCGCTGGCCAGGGTTCCCCAGCTCCTTCCCATTCCCCCTACCTCCACCCCCCACCCCCATCCTGCCCTCTCCATGCTCCCACTGGCATCTACAGGGCTGATCTCTGCGTGTGCCTCTGATTCCTGTTCACTAGCCCTTCATACAACCCTCTCACCTGCCTCCACTTCCCTCTCCTGAACTTTCCACATCCACAGTCTTCCAAACCTTACACTTGTTCTTTGCCTTACTGCGAACGACACCTGCTCCAAAGGTTTCCGGGGTGAAGGTGAGGGAGCTTGGAGTAGAACTTAGAAATATGCACTTGATGACGCTTAAAAGATGGAGTTTTATACTTTAAAATGTGCTTTTTCCCATAAAAAGATGTTCCCCAGCTTTTAAAGTCAAATAAATTTTGACATCTCTTGCATAAATAACATTTTATTACAGGTAGTAATCTAATTTATACATGTTTATACATTTCAAGGAATACACCCAAGCATCAGGAACATAAAATTTCGAATGTAAAATGGAAATTTACACCAGTAAACACAGAAAACTATTTTCGGACTGTGTGCTACCTTCAGTCGCTTACACAGGATCCAAAGAAAGCGGGCAAACCCTACAAACGTAGCAGAAGCATTTCCGCACACTGGTATCAAACTCTAGTCTGTGCGGAAGTGTTTCCACTAGATTCATAGAGCGCTCTTCAGAAGGGAGGAGCGAAGAGCCATCATCTGGTTGCCCTCCGAACTTTCTGCAGCTCTTCCACGGGCTTCCACTGCTGGTTGATGGTTATAAGCTTGAAAAACAGAAAGCAAGCCTCTTTGTTAAGGATCTGCTCTCAATCCTCACATTCCTTTAGCAGTCCACACTCCCTTAAGGGAAAGCAGCCCCGTAGTAGTCAAAGAACCACCCCATCCCTCTCTGAAACAGGCACAGAATAGCAGACTGGTCTATTTCTACCACTCCATCCCCTAAAGCCCCTGGGTCTCTAGGTGTCCCAGGATCAGGGGGAGCAGTCATACATATGTCCTGCTAGGTGTCCCAGGATCAGGGGGAGCAGTCATACATATGTCCTGCTAGATGTCCCAGGATCAGGGGGAGCTGTCATACATATGTCCTGCTAGGTGTCCCAGGATCAGGGGGAGCTGTCATACATATGTCTTGCTAGGTGTCCCAGGATCAGGGGGGAGCAGTCATATGTCTGTCCCGCTTTCCTTAGTTGTTCCAAGATTTTTAATTTGCTGAGATAGCATTCAAATTCAAGAGGTGCAGCCATTCCTTGTAAATGAATGGACAATGGTCCAAGCACGGGGCAAGACACACAGTAGGCTCTTAAAATTTCCTCCTTGCAATTGCTTCATGGAGGCACAGATGACCCAATCAGTTCTCATTCAGACATCCCCATTCGTTCCCACCAGCATTCCCACCCCAGGCCCCAGGAGACACAGTTACAAAGATCCTGAATGCCTCTCCTTGACTTAAATGTTATCAGAGTTTTGCTTTTTGTAATGTCTTTGCTAACAGCCCTCAGTGGTGTTCATTCTGACCCCACGCTTCTAGCCTTCGAAATATTTAAATTATAAAAATTAAAACCTAGGCCAGTGAGATGGCAAGATGGCTGATAACCTGAGTTTGACTTCTGAGATGCACGTGGTGGGAGAAGAGAACTGAAGACCCCGGTCGTCCTCTGACCTCCACACACATGAGCCACAGCACAGGCATGACTACCCGCCCCCCAACGAATACTTAAAAATAAATGCTTAAAAAAAATAAGACCTTCGGAATAGTCTTTGGAAAATGAGTAAATGATAGTTAATTCCACTGGGGGGGATCCACTCCCATTTTCAGGAATTCCTATTGTTTATCCCACCTTATATTAATTTTAGGTAATAGAGAAACGAGGTAAATATTTCAAAAATGATAAAGATTTATGCTTGAGTGCTAAATATGGGCCGGGCACTGTGCTAAAAGGCTCTGTATTTAGATTCTTTAAGCTCTAAGGGCAAGTTTTACTATCGTGGTCATTTCACAGATTCAGAGAAGCCAAACTGTCCACAGTGTCTGAGCAGAGCAGAGCAAGGACTTAACCAGGTCTCTAGACCACTCTTTCCCAAGTGACACCGAATGTCACTGTCAGTGCAAGGGCTACAGTCTGCTTGCTGGAAAAGGTTCGAGCTGAGTGTCAATCACACACACTGTAACTTCAGTAATACCTTCTGAGGTTGAGTAGGATCCACCCTCTCCCAAGGTTCTGGGTTTCTTTTTCGATCAATACTAAAAACAAAAGAGGATGAATGAAAGGAAGGTAAATTCATTTACACAAACCTGAGAGAGACTGGGTCTATGAAATTTCTGGAGACAGATGTGGTCTCCACACTGGCACTGTTAACTTGCATCACCTGCTCTAACAGCCGAAAACTCAGGCTTCGTTTCCAGCGCGGATCCCTTCCTCTGCAGGGCGGGGTAAGAGGTCTGTGTGCTTTGGGGGCGGCTTGGAGACTGCCCCCACAAACAGGCAGCAATGGGGGTGAAAGGACAAGCAGTAAGGGGCTCCCCGGGTTTCTAGAAGGATGGGGGCTAGGCTTGAGCTGCGCAGGCGCTGGCTCCAGGCACCCCCGCTCTCTGATGTTAGAGCGGCTGCTGCTCTCTCTGAACCTTGAACCAGCCACCGTCTGTTTCAATATCCTTTCCTTGCATCCCAGGAGACAAGGCTTAGTGCTTTTCTTTACCCAACGTTGAGAACAGAGTTCATCGCAGATAGCTGAATGTTTCAATTCTACCACACGAGGAAAGAACTTTCTAATAAGTTGAAATTTTGAAGCTTAAAACGATTGTTTGATAATATGTACCCTCTAAGCGCTTTTGAAGTATTTCAATCTCAAAGCCTAAATTTATAAAGAAATAAAAATTTACTTCACTACCCGAGAGTTGAGACATAAAAAAACAAATGTCACTGTCTGTCAGTCTCTCGGAGACCTGCGTTGTTTTTCAGCCCACACTTTGATATTCTGATTCCGAGGGAAAACCCAGACAGTGACAGCATGTGTTTAGGAATCTGCAGGTAGGAGACCAGCAGACAGGAGGTGTTAGTACTTACACCACGTCGGTTTTTTTCAAAGCATACAAAGCGAAGGATGTAGCTCCAGTGGCCGCCGTAGTTATGATAACCGCCAAAGGAATGAGCTAAGAGAGAGCAGGTGGGGGATACATTCAGTATGAAGCCTCCGAAATATAACAAAATAGTATAAAAATTCAAAATCTTCACCATCTTTTCTCTCTCCCCCTTAAAAAAAATTAAGAACCATCAGAAGTCAAGACTTATCGATTGCTTTAAAAAAAAAACTTACTTCCTTATTTTTCATCAATCTCTGGAAAATGCCCATGATGACTTTAGTGTAGAATTCCAAATCTAGAAGAAGGAAAAATCCAAGATACTGGTCAAAAACATCCTCCCTCGGGGCCCGGGCACCCGGCCGTCCAACAGACGCGGAAGGTCGGGCGAGGGCCCGCTCGGCGGCAGAACTTTCCAGAAAGGAGACGCACCTGGGGTGGCTGTGGTCCGGAGATGTTAACGCCCAGCAGCGAGCCGGCCTTATAAGCCGCCAACCGCTCGCCCGCTCGGGAAGGGCCGCGTTCGGGTCACGCGGGGACCGGTCGGACGGACGGACTCGCACGGAGCCAGCTCGCGCGCGCCCCCTGCAGGACGGACGGCAGCGCAGCGCGGCCGCTGACCGCGGTCCTTACGTGCGGTCCCTTCCCACGGTCCCCCATCACTTTCTGTCCCCGTCCCGCACTTCCAAAAGTCTGGGAGGTTCAAGTTCCTATGTGATGGCCAAAGTCTGGGTGAAAGACACTCAGCCCTTCTAAAAAGAGACTTGGAGGGAGGGGTAAGGGAGGGCAGGGGCTCCAGACTTGATTACCACCTTTTCCCGGAAGTAGTACTAGGAGACGATGTCAGGTGCAGGGCAGTTTGGTAAATCTGACCAAATTCAACCACATAAAAGTTCTAAAATGTGACACGTCGCACACATGGAGATTGCTAAAGAGTAAATTGTGAAGTTCATATGAACTCCACAGTGTCCTCATTGCTTAAAAAAAAAAAAAGTCAGAGTTAAGGGAAAAGACGGAAAAAAAATTCAACTGCAGAAGATACCAGGTATCCATTTATGCTGTGGACTCCGACTGTTGGCTTTGTCTTCAGGTCCCCCCTTAACGCAGTAACTTGGGCTGGCAGTTTGCTTTGGAAAGAATTCCACTAGACCAGCGGCTGTGTGCCAGACATTAAGCCAGGTTCCTCGGACCAGGGCGGGTGGGGGTGGGGGTGGATACTAGATGCAGAGATGCTCAAGGCATGCAGTTAGTGCGTGGTAGAGATGCAATCAGAAGGGAAGTCTGGCTCCTAACACCAGCACTTAGTGCACCCTGTAAGTCAAAACAAGCCTGGTTACTTCAAAAGTTATTTTAAATCACGTTGAGGGGGAAGTTGTATTTCAGTGGAAAAACTCTAGCTTAGGATGTACTAGTGTCCAGCCTATGACCCCTGGGCCCTGAGCTGCAGGATAGCCCAATACATTTAAGGTGATGATATTATGTCACAATGTCAAAAAGTTGAATGATCCTGTGGCCTGGGTAAATTTCCAGTACAAAATCCTTCTGCACAAAAGAAACTTTTGGGGAGTGGGAGTGGGGACAGCATCTTACTACAACATAGCTCAGGCCTCAAACTTTAGATCCAGTTGAGTGTTGGGATCATAGATGTGTGCAACTAAGCAAAAAGAGAATATCTTTTACATTTTTATTTTATTATTTTTTTGAGAATTTCATTCAAAGTATTTTGATCATATTCACCTCCAGGCCTCCTCCAGCTCCTCCCAGATTCGTTCCTACCTCCCTACCCTCCCAACTTCGTGGGATTTTGTGTTTTGCTTCCCATATACTCTGGGGTGTGGGGTCATCCCCTGAAGCATGGCCACCTGCTAGGGGGCCACATCCTTAAAGAAAACTGATTCTCCCTTCTGGAAAAGCCACCAACTGTCTATAGCTCCTCAGTTAAGGGTGTGGGGTCATGAACCCCTTCCCACTCCGTGATGAACTGTTGACTAGTTTGCTCTTCCTCAGGTCCTGTGGAGGCACCCAGCTGCCATGAGCTCATGAGAGCACTGACCCTGTCATGTCCAGAAGACACTGCTAAGTTCCAGTCCCCCACAACCTCTGGTTCTTTACACACACACCCTTTTCCATGATGGTCTTTGAACCTTGAGGGAGGTTATGATATAGATGTCCCATTTGTGGCTAAGTACTCGGCTGGCAATTTAGCCTCTGCATTTTAGTCAGTTGTGGGTTTCTGGACTAACCACTGTCTGCTGCCCAAGTATGGTGATATTTTATTTGTGCTGAGATGTGATTTTATTTGTATGTTAATAAAGTTGCCTGGAGATCAGAGCTAAGAGCAAGCCATTTAGCAGAAGTCCAGGGGTGGTGGCACATGCCCTTACTCTGAGCACATGGCAGGCAGAATCTCTGTGTGTTCAAGGACACAGCCAAGTGGTGACCTGAACCTTTAATCTCAGTACCAACCATAGAGACCTGGAGGTCTGTATAGACAGGCAGTGACAAGGAAGTCATGTGGTCTGAGAGCTGTACTTATCTACCAGGAAAGATACAGATTTAAAGGGCCGTTATGCTATGTCCAGTTAGCATAGAAATTGTAGTATGCTCACCCCTGGGCCTCTGAACTTCCCAACTGTAGGCTCTTGGCCAGATATGCAGTATCAGGCATGCGTTTCCTTCTGGGGAGTGGGTCTTAAATCCAATCACATTTTCTTATATCCAAACTATTTTTCCCTTTATTTTACATACTAACCAGTTTCCCCTCCCTCCTCTTCTCCCGCTCCCTCCCCTGACCTCCCTTCTATCCCCCATCCACTCCTCCTCCTTTTCCATTCAGATAGGGTTAGAGCTCCCTTAGGGACCAAGCATTATCCAAACTATTTTAACGGTTGGTTAATTATCTCATAGCATTTGTGCCACTACCCCACCCAGGGAGCTCTCAGTACAACATAGCCCAGGCTAGCCTCACACTTGGTCATTACTGTAGTTCATAAGTGAGGCCATTGACGACACCGTCCCCACCCAGCCCAGCTGCCTACACAGCACCTTCCAGTACACTTATCCAAAGGACCATTTCCTACTACAGAGACACATGCTCATCCACGTTCATAACTGTTCCAGTAACAATGGCTAGCAAATTCGCCATAGTATTAATCACCCAGTGTAGGTGCCAGATAGTGAGGAAAGTTATTTCATGATTCCATTTTATGTTTCCAGGTTTTCAGGATAAAATGTTAAAGGAATTGAAAATTGATATCTACACATAGAATGTGCCCATACAACTTTAAAATATACACATTTCTACTTGTAGCAATGACAGATCCAGGAAGCTACATTTTGTCCTTTTGCATTAATGCCCATGTGTGTTGAATTCTAAGAGATGCTGAGGTAATATTATTATGTTTTGTTTTTCCCTTAGGTTCAAGGAATTGCAGCAATTTGGGGTGGTTTGTATTTATTGAGGTAAATGCAGCAATTCAAATATTAAATTATCTGCTCAATGTCATTACAAAAATAGGTATATGATTAAAGAATCATTTTTTGCTTTTTTTTTTCCGAGTTTGCTGTGGGCAGAACCATCTAGAATTTTCCATCATCCAGTTCTTCAGAATACGGTTTCCCAAATAAAACAGAACTCATAGCCTCACCACCACACTTTAACCACAGCAGAGATCCCTCCCCCCGCCCCCGTCACAAGCACCGAATACTGGCAACCTGGTGGGGCACCAGGCCACTGTTGCCTGGGAGACGAGGATGTCAAACAGGTATGGTTCCCACCCTTCACATCTAAACTCTGGCAGGCCCCAGAGTTCCCACCAGGGCACTAGCCAGTAACACTGACCTTGCCAATCCTTTGAGGAAGCTTTGTCTCCCCGACTCCAAATGCTAGACACTTTCAGAGCTCTCTCTAGCTATGGTGACCTGAGTGACAGACACATTCAACCGTGGTTGTCCGGCTATCACCCATGGAATCTAAACATAATCAGCCCCACTCAGGCTTCAAGAGAAAAATGTCTTTTTTTAAAAAAAAACATTTATTTGTATTTTATGTACATTGATGTTTTGCTTGCATATATGTCTGTGTGAGGGCGTTGCATCCCGTGAGACAGAAATTACAGACTGTTGAAGCTGCCATGTGGGCCCTGGAAACTGAACCCAGGTCCTCTGGAAGAGCAGTCAGTGTGCTTAACCACTGAGCCATCTCTCCAGGCCCCAAAATAGAATATTCTTATTGCTTGAAACTCTGACCAACCTGGACAGTGGGCTACGTTGGTCCTGTCACTCATCCTTCCGTGGCTGCTTTACTGGGCTGGATACTGGGATCCAGACACTCTATACGCTGGGGTCAACAACTAAGGCTCGAGAGCAGCGTGAGCTCAGACCAGGGGAAAACAAACACTGCCTGCCAACTTACCGCCGTGCTTCTCAGGCCAAGCGAAAGTGGGATGGGGACTCTGGGGTATCAGAGTAGACCAGTGGGAAAGAAGGGTGGAGAAAAGCAATACAAAGTCCACGTGGGTGAGAAGGTCATGAACACCAGTTTAGTACACCATAAAATGCAAGTAAAAACAAAATAATTTTAAACAGTCTTGGAAGTTGTCCAGAGCAATCTTCTGATGATGGAAACTGAGTCACAGGATGTCCTGGTCGGGCCCTGCCATTTCCTGGGCATTTCCGGTGACAGGCACCTAGATGCCACCCTGAGTGAGGAACGGCCCAGTTAAGGTGCTCCTTGCACACTGCTAGCAAGGAAAGTGGTAAAAAATTGTGCACTGCCATTACTTCTGGGGTTCAAGCACGGGAAGGTTACACACCAAAGGGGATTTCATTCTTAATTGCGTCTGTAAAAATAGGAGCATGCAGACAAATCCATGGCCTCGGATTACTTACAACTACAAAAGGGAAGTGAAGAATAGAGAAACCCAACAACACTGAGTGGACAGAGTGACCGGCACCAACGAGGGGAGCACTGTGCCTCCGGCGGTGACACAAAGCCTACACCCGAGAAGTGCTGACAGACACACACCTAGGGGCTGAGTGTCTACAAAACACCGGTCTACGTGTTTCCAAGCTGAAGACTGAGAACTGTTTCCAAGTAAAGACGCGGAACACATGACAACTAAACTCACAGTAATCCCAGACTAGACCGTCTGGCAGAAAAGGATGAACATAGGACATCTCTGGGAAAGAGAGAGAAATTCACTGAATCCATTCAAATACTGTGTCGATGTTAAACTTCCTGAGTTTGGAGAGTGAACTGTAGTATAAGACAATCTTATTTGTAAGACGCACCCACTAAACGCTAGCCATACTGGAGCATCCGGCACACAGAGAAACGAGTCAGGCGATGTTTGAGTGACAGGCATGTATGACAGTGAATTCCCACGACTGTCGCACGTGCGGTCACTGTCTTGCTTGGATAACCACACGACTCTATGACATTCAGGACAAAACTGCCTAATGACACACCTCTTAGAGTCATCCCCGAGCTGAGTGACGCATGACTGTATTCTAGTCTCAAACTGTTCAGAAAACAGTGTGTGGAGGAAAGAGAGAAAACAACTGACAGAATGCTAAACTG